GTCTTCTTTAATTTTAATATAACGTTGTCTTGTCGTGGTCTTTCTTATCTTGTTTATGCTTTGGTTTCCCTTGCACCACCAATTTTATCACTCCATGACTGTAATAAATAGTTTTGGTCACAAAGTATCTCAATGTCGCACCTCTCTGCCAATTTTTATCTTCTTAGTCATGCAATGAAGGCTTACAGTTGTTGCTGAATTTTTGAATAAATTTCGAATAACATTCGCATATCTGTGGTCTATTCTGCATTCAGATAGTGCTTTTATGATAGCGACTGTTTTTACTGTGTCAAATGCTTAGCATCCCAAATTTTGTCTTCTATTTTTTCAAAAATATCGAATTGCTTCTTGTATTGATATGTGTATACAATCCTTTATTTGCAAATTAAATCAGAGCGGAGCTGAGAAAAACGATTTCTGGATGTGAGAAGTAACATTCTGATTTTTGCAGAAAAAGATATCTAATTTCAGATTCATATTTTGTTAGTCGGTTTCCTATTAATATCTGATTTACTACATCTGTAATAAGCAATTCCTCTATAATTTGGCATATGCTTTTAGCTCCTCTTTTGTGTATCAGACATATGGATGCATTTTTTTATTCTTGTGACAATTTTCCATTTTTTAAAATTCGTTTTATTAGGTTAGTAATTCATTTAAGTAATAGCCGTCCACCTTTCTGGAATATTTCTGCTGTTATACCATTTTCTCCTAGACTCTTATTATTCTTCGGCCGCTTTATTTCCTCTATCTCCTGATTTGTGGCCCGGTTTATGATTGTATTTCATTGGTATTTACCTCTGAGTTTTGCAGTTTCTTAAAGTATTCTGCTTACATTTCTAGTTTCCTGGTAAGTCACCTAGAAGCCTGCCATTTTTACTTCTGCGGAAGCATCCGGTTCCGGGTTTCGTAGCTTGATTGACTTTGACTTCTTGGTAAAAATTAAAAATTAAAAATGTTTATCGTGGTTAAAAGGTATTAAAGTAAATTTGAATGAACTGAGATGTATAAGTTTTAAAAAGAAAAGGGCAAACATTTTTTAACCATGCTCCCACCGACTGAATTTTCAGCTGCTCAGCACAGCTTTAGGGACTATTACCAAGTTCAGCGATGGCTTGGTAATGAATAAGACTCAAAACAATGAGGCTGGGAAATAAAAAAAAAAGCAGATCTAGAGCCAATCAAACCACCGATATGCTCTTTCCTGATAGTTTACTAAAAAAAAAAAAATAGTAAGTGTTTGAAAGAATATTCAAAGTCATGTGGTTGCATTAAGCACGGTCATCATCATCATCATCATCATCATCATCATCATCATCATCATCAATGGCGCTACAACTCTTCCTGAGTCTTTGCCGCGTTTACTATTGCCTTCCATGTTTGTCGGTCCTGTGCCAATAATTTCCATTGTCACACTCCCATTTTCTCTAGATCTTCTTTGACTGCATCCTTCCACCTTTTTCTAGGTCACCCTACAGACCTTCTTCCATCTGGCCTTTCCCAGATGGAAGCTATTCATCGTCACGCTATCTCTGCAAGGGCCGTATATAATTCGAAGAATTTTACGTTCCCACACCAGCAATTTATTTACTTCTCTTTTTGTTAGTGTCCATGTTTCGCTTCCATACGCGACTGCTGGTCATATTATGGTCTTGTATATCCTGATTTGAAGTTTTGACTTCATTAGATGTTGCATTGCAAAGAAAGATCTGTTTCCTGCCATTATTCTCTGCCAATTTCTCGCCCTAATTTCTTGTCATTTGTGATTGTTGCTCCTAGATATTTAAATTCTTTAACCACTTCGAAGTTGTGATCATCTATAGTAATGTTTTGCCTTATTCGCCGTGGTTCTTGTTTTGAGACGACCATGTATTTTGTTTTGTCTTCATTTATTTTTAGACCGATGTTTAATGCAGCTTCTTCAAAGCTCTAGAAAATATTCTTAATTTCTAATGTTGATTGCGCTACTGCGTCTACGTCATCGGCAAAGGCAAGTATGATTTTTGCTCCCCGAGCAGTTATGTCTGGTTTGATTTTTGGATATATTTTTCACATGACATATTCTAAGGCCAGGTTAAACAACAATGGGGACAACGGATCTCCTTGTGTCAGTCCAGAATTTACGCAGAAAACATTTGCTATTTTTCCCCCTATTCTAACTTGTGCAAAAGAGTTACTTACACACATTTGTGTTACCGCAGCTAGTTTCTTGGGTACGCCGAGCGTAAGCCTGTTTGAAGTCTATAAAAATCTGATGCACGTCGTGATTATATTCCCAATTTAGCTGCCATGAGCAAACTCGAAAAAAATCAAAAAGCAGCAATATAAACCTAGAAAAAGAAAATACTGATACTGCTATTAACTTTGATGAAATTAATTTGGAAATTTTGGAATTTACCATAATTTTGGTAATTATGGTGAAGATTTGGAGAGTAAGTTTTACCTTCAAGATGAAGATTTTGATAAAGTAGATTTTTTACAATAAAATCACATCAGTGGTATATTATAGGGGGTTTTTCAAATAATAATTTACACTACAAATTTTTTTAATTTTATTAATTTCTCTGGATTTTAGAGCACTTCAAAGTTGACCTGGTTCTTGAATACTCGTAAGAATAGGATAAAAACCAACTATTAGGCTTAGTTTTATATTGTATATATTCATATAATTTATCATTTTGTTAATATTCCTTTGCTATCATTAGTTTATTATCGCCTTTTTCTGGACCACCTATGAGGCAAAGTCTGAAGAAGGGTTTTTTAAGTGGTATCCCCATTAGGCCTAATCCACGGAAAATTTCCAAACGAGATAATATTGAGCATTATTATTGTATAAGTATTTAAAAAGTCGTTTTGCAGCATTTTCTTTGATAATTCAGGCTGTGTTTCTAATTCAGTATCGATGGTGAATATTTGCGAAAGAACGGGAGATAAAATAATTGGCGGTCTTGTGGGTAATTCATCTTCCAATTCTTCTAAGTTTTTGATTAATTTTTGAAATGTTACTGCAGGTTTTACAAGAATAGTTTAGACACACTGCAGAGAATTTGAGGCCTGCTTTACGGCAACCACACATATTTCCACAGTTTCCCTTGTATCTGCAGAAAATTAATTGTAGAAGTTAGGGGATGCTGGAGTTTTGAAAGTTTTGATTGGTATCTAAATTTTGTTATGCTTTTTTCTAGCCCCAATATTTAGGACTGCAGAATTTGAATAGGTATTTTCAACACCTTTTAAATGTGGTATCACTTTCCATAAGGTCCCATTTAAAATTATCTGTCACAGTGGCGCTGTAATGTCATCTATCATTAATACGTCACTTGTTATGACTAGTTGAGAAGCCTACGTCTCTTTATTGCCTCCCTCCAAATTTCAATATTATAACAATAACAGTTCAAATCATACGAGGGGGGGAACGGACTTTTGACTAGTAGTTTATCGTAGTATTTATGTATTACAAATAGCTTTGTTGAATTTCAAATTTGGATGATTTTTATAGATTTTAAACATGCTAGCTTATTAATTATATCTTTTGAATTATTACAATGTATTACAAATTTATAGTTTTATTTTTTTAAAGTTTAAATTACGTTTATACACGTTTCAATTTCCACTTCGGAAATCGTTCTCAAAATAAAAACAGTAAATTACAACAGCAATAAACAACAAATTTTGTTTTTTTGTTAGTAAAAAATTCTTCTAATAATTTAATTTTATCTGACTCATTTATATTGGCAATTCAGACATACATTATGCATTTTAAAGTAGACGACTTTAAAATGATATTGCCAATATTGTTGAGTTGAGCTCCTGTGACGACTTTACTTATAAACGTAATTTAACCTTAAAAAAAAGAAAATTCAAATTTATATATTTACAGAGTTTATCTATGCTAAAAAAGAGTTAAGTAATTATTTAAATAATAATTTTTTGATACACCAATCCTAACGTCTTTTTTTTTTTCAATTGTAAATACATATAATACATTGATTACATTTTTTCCTTTTTGGTATAAAAATATGAAATTATTTTTACATTTTTTCTTAAAAAGATAAATATTTTTCAGCTTCAATCCTGCAATCTACAGTTTACATTGATCCTTTTTATGATTTTCACGCGCAAGCCGATAAAAAGTACAAAGACTTTTACTATTACTGTAGCAGTTTGCGATGCAACAAATATTGCCTACCTTCGTTTTAAATAATTATCTACAAAAGGGATATGGATAATTTTATTATATATATATATATATATATATATATATATATATATATATATATATAACGAGTTTATTACAGCTGCCGCCGTTTCTCGCAACCTAGCTTCCAACGCTTGCGATCGTTCCAGTCATCTACTTGTAGACCCCTATCTTCCATTGCACCTTTTACTTCTTGTCTCCACGATCTTCTTGGTCTTCCCTTTTTCCTGCGGTTGGTGGGGATCCACTGTTACATTCTCTTTGGCAATCGTTGATCATTCATCCTTTCTACATGGCCATACCATTTCAGCCTTTTGCATTCTATAGTTTCCAGGATGTCAATGTCTATGCCCATACGCTCTCTGATTTCAGTATTCCTTACTCTATCTCTTCTAGTGAGTTAAAAAATATTTTTTCTAATAATTCATTTCCACTGCTTTTATTTTGGATAATAATTTTATTTTGTATATATAATAAAGTCATAAAAATCTTACGGTGATGACAAATTTGGCCGATATGAGCGCTTTAAACGTGACGTATATCCCCCACCCCGTCAGCTGCACAGAACGATTCCTTGCTCGAGCTTTTTCTATAAGTTTGACACGTGACATATTCGTATGTGATTCGAACATTCAACCTCATATCAAATATTCGTATATGTCGAAATTAGAAAATAAAGAAAGCAAATAAAACTTGTGTTGTGTGGTTGTTGTGGTTGTGTTCCGGAAGGTAAATGGCAATAACAAAATAAAGAAGAATAGTCAAGCGAGGTTGTCTCTTTTGACACAAGACCTTTAAAAACTTCAATGTCAGCGTCTATATTACATATTTATGATGTGCGTACACTACTAAATTACAGCCTTATCAATATCTATAATCTATACCACCAATATGATCGTTGATTATGATAGAACGTCCTCAATGGATCTAACAACCAATGCAGATTTTCGAAACGAATCCTTTTTATCTATTTTAGACAATAAAAACCAAATAATCAGTACTTTAAAACATCGATTAGAAAACCAGAAGTTGCAAATATTATACTATTTAAAAAAAGAAATAGAATATCCAAAACTTATAGACCTGTCTCGAACGTGTACTTCAGAAACCAGTGAAAGTTTACCTATATCACTAGCTTTAGAACATTTTAAAAAAGAAAATAATATCAAGAGTAATTTATCGTCATTATACGAGTATATGAAAAATGTTGATAGTAAGCTCACAAAAAATTTAAATTCTCAAGAATGTTTATTAAGAAAACTTGTTGAGAAACTGTGCGAGGTAATCAGAAATTCTGAAAAAAATGGTTCACTAACTAACACAGTTATAACACAAAGTTCGTTTTGGGTCGATTTATTTAACGATCTTTTAAAAGCAACAATTGGACTAAGGAAAAATTTACATTCATTTCAGGTTAGTTGTAATAATTTGGTAGTTGTAGAAGATGAAAGGAACTGTCTTATTGAACAAGTTCTTTGTTTATCACCAGAAGAAAAACTAAATTTCAATATTTTAATAAATATTAAGCAAGAACAAAAAGAATTGGAAAGAAAGAGTGTGGAGTTGAGAAAGCAACAAGATAACTATAAAGAACTGAGAGTGTTAAACGCTATAGAGGAAGAGGTGTCTGTTTTGCAAAAGCAGATTAATATGTCAATTGAGGAAGCAGATAATTTGTCTTATGTTGGAAATCTAATAAATAATCTTCATAACGATGCTAAGATGCTACTGGATGTTACAAAAAAACATGATCGACCTGATGAATACAAATCGTTCATAATCAATCTAGTCAAAACAGCAATCTCAAATGGGGAATTACACACTAATAACAAAGAAGAATTAATATTGTTTCAGGCTATTAAAACTGAATTTAATAGTATACAAACACAGTTAAAAGAAGAGTTAATGCATATTAAAGATAAATATGAGTGTATCAAGGGCAGACTACAAACCGTCCTGCAAGAAAAAAATGAGCTGAAGACAATAAAGAATGAACTAGAATGTCTTATCAAATATATGGAAAAGAGCCATGCGTATGAAATCAGTTCTTTAAAAAAAGAAAGGGACAAACTCAAAAAGGAATTGGATGATTTAGAAGTAAACAAACTTTCAAATAATGAACCTCTTACTCCAGTATCATCCAATATTCCAAGGAAAGAAATAGAAATGAACAAAACTATAAGACAATTAGAAAAAAATTTATCTCTTATGACAGAGACAATTGCTAAGCAAAACCAAGAAATTCTTCGCCAAGGTGAAACAATAGAAAACCTTAAGAAATCTTGTAAAACAACAAATGTCGGATCTATTGGAGTCCAACATAGTTCTAAAAAAGATTCTACTAATACTAAACGCTTAGATAAAAATGCAGTGAGAAAAAAAAGTACTATAGGACCAGAAGAAAATCTTAATTGTAAGATACCCGTTACAAGCCTATACAATTCTGCAGATCATTCACATAAAAAAAAATTAGTCGTCAAAAAATCTGTTAATAAAGACGTAAAATTAAATAAAAGTTCTTGTTCATATTCTAACTCATTGATTACTAAAAACTGTGATAAAAAACACATTGAAAAAAAGGTTGGATGTAGTAAAGCCGCAATAGACTTAATGAGGGACTGCTCCCAAGAGAGTGTTCCTGATTTTTGTTCACCAGTACGTGCACCGATTATTTCGGAAAGAAAGTGTTCACGAAGTGTAGAAGTTTTAGAACCGAACAATTAATGACATCCATCATAAGAAGAATATATTATGAATAAAATCTTTTTCTTACGTATAACGTTAGAGAAGTCACAAAGATTATTTAAAATAATAAAAAAATTCTTTTCAAATGACTTTCTGTTTATATGTTTAAGTAAAGGACATAAGATCTGCATTTTATTCATTTGCGCATGTGTTACATAAACTTACAAACAAATCATTCTTAGAAAAAAGCAAATTAAAAATATAGCGGCAAGAAATATCAAGCAAAGAAATATTAGATAAATATCCTAATTTCTATATTTCCTATATCTTTAATCTAAAAAGATATTTCAAAAGAAATCATACAGGCAACAGGAAATTCACCATAGGATGCATATTTATAGATGAATAACAGTCTGTAGGCCGAAAGACTGACGAAGATACCCAAAAATTAAGTTTAAAAACGAAAAAAAAAAGATATCAAGTGATTATGTTAAATATTTCTAAAAATGTCTACTAAAAATTATACAAAAAGCACACTATAGTCCATTTCCATCATATTGATAGCACATTATGTATGCAAATCCCTGAACTGTTGATACGGGTGACTCAATGAAAAATAGATATTTGTCAACAAGTTTACGAAGTATATAGGAAAACAATTTTAAATTGAGTATGACCACCAGGTATAAAGGTTGAAGCAGAATAGGATACAATAGTTTTGAGGGTTACTAATCACTAAATAAAGTTGCCAGTGTCGGAGTGATGGAGATTAACAGGTACTAATGAATTTGCAAGAAATGTAAGATGTTTATTTTGTTGGTTATATATAAAATAATTTGTGGCCGTAACAGGGGCCGATTTGTAAAAAAATGAATATTATTTTATTTAAATTCCACTTCAGATTCACTGCTTTCTTCAGAATCTAAGGAATCTTCAACTCCAATTTTAATTATTACCGGTTCCAGCATTGCATTGGTCATATTATCCAAAATCCACATTTTATTTTCTTCCTTGTGAGCATGACTAATAGCATTATTTAAATTTTCTGGAGTTACTTTTGATAAGGAATATTCTAATAATGGTTGTAAGTCTTCTAATTTAAAAGTTTTGTTGTTGCGTCTGACTTCACCCTTTACTTGAGACCATATATTTTCTATCGGATTCAGATTACCGTGGTATGGGGGTAAACGTAAAATAATTACATCACGGTTTAATGCCATTTCATCAATTATATACTTTTTATAAGCTGCTTTATGTTGCCTTACATTGCCTTTATGTTGCTTCATTTTTTGTCGAATTCTCCTTGTACTCAATTGCGTGTTTATCGAACCATTCGATTATCTCTCCTTTTTTCCATGCCGTTGTTGGCAATTTTTCTGCTAGTCTTGAATGGTAACTAGCATTATCCATGACTATGACAGAATTTTTTGGAATTAAATCCAACATTTGCTTAAAATATTCTTCAAAAACGTCAGCAGTCATTTCCTCGTAGTAATCTTTGGTTGTTTTTGAGGCAAAACTTAATAATCCACCATCGATAAAACCGTATTTGTTTCCAATATGGGTTATTATGAGTCTGTGTTCTTTTCCAACGGGAATATTGTTTATTCCAGTAGATACACCTTCGATGAATGCCTGACGGGAACTTTTCACATTTGTATCAACCCATAGATATGGTACAGTATGACTTCCATTTAGCCAAGTCTCGTCCAAATAAAAAATTGTTTTCCCTTCTTCTCGGTACTTTTTAATAGTTCTTAGATAATCTCTTCTCCAACATACAATGTAATATTTTTCAATTAAAACGGATTTTCTTCTATTCTTTTTCCAAAGAAATCCCATTTCTCTTAATAGTCCCCATAATTTCTTGTTGCTTATGATTGGTAACTCTTCGTTTTCTCTAATTAATGTTTGGATTTTGTCCAATGTTGGAAATTCTTTGTTAAAAAAAATGACTGCGTCTTATCATGTTTTTATGTATTTCTTCAATTTCCAAGGGTTAAACCTGTTGTCGACGTCATTTTTCAATGCAAATAACAAAATATCGACACTAAAAACGTAGGTAGGTAAGACATGAACAATGTACATCTACAAACTAAATGAAAGATGCAAACAATTTCTAATTTATATTATTGTTATAAGCTGTAATGTGGCATAAAAACTACTTAAACTATCATTAGTGAAGCCTTATCAGTAATTTCAGGTAATCGTTCAAAGAAGGTATTTTTTTTGTGTCAAGCGATAACTTGTATAGAAAACAATATTCAGCTTTAAATTACTGTTTACATTAATTTATTTCGTGAAACATTGAATTCTCTCGTTAATCACCCGTGTATAATTAACAATAATCGTGTGGCATATATACCGACGTTTTTTACGCACAAAAAAGGTATAGTGAGATAAGTGGACACTTATTTTACAGAAGATTTTTTAAAAGATAATGAATTGTTGACGGCATCTTAAAATATTAATTTTTTTTATTTATTTTAAAACAAGTATAGGGTGACGCCTATGGTTTTTTGACCTGTTGAGGATTTGAATACATAATGTGCTATCAATATGATGGAAAAGAACTATAGCGATTTGCATTTCTTTTTTCCATTACGAGACTATCCCAATTATATCATCTGCAAATTATAAAGAAATTACATTTTCTTCGTATTCTTGATTTCTGATAGGTTACATCTACCACAATCCATTTTCTTTCATGATTTTTCTATCTAATAGATAAGGCCAGACCCATTTTAGATCGCATTTATTAATTAACCGAAAACATTATCATTCGTAAGGTCCAAATCATGACATCTAAGTCAATACAGGTTGTCTCCATAAGATACCTATTCCAAAAACGAATAACCGAAAAAAGCAGAAACACATATATCACAGAAAGTGATGGAGTCGAAGAAAGCTGGGCAAAAATTAAGTCTAATACCTAGCCTCTTCTTGGTGAAAGAAATATAAATAAAAATAAGTCATTCTCAAGGCGAAGAACTCCATGATTTTGTACAGAAATGAAGAAAATATGTAAAGAAAAGAAAAAAGCTTACCTGAAATACATGTCAACCCAAACACAAGAGGCAAACCATAATAACAAGATAATTAGAAATGAAACACATGCACTAGTAAGAAAAATAAAAAATGATCACTATGAACGCTTTTCGAAAGAAATGGAACATAATTTTTACGGTCTACAAAAGGAAATATGGCGCTTCATGAGAGGTCTAAGAACGGAGGTAAAGGAACTAATAGAACCAAAACACATAAAAAAGTGTAAGTAGTTTGACTACCTAAAAAAGCTATATGCAGAGGAAGAAAAACGACACTAGAACCGGAAACACCAGAAATTATCACAAATAAAAAACTTAATATAAATGAACAGAATGTTCGAGAAATGCTTAAAAAGCTGGAGAACAGAAAAGGAGCAGGTAAAAAAGGGATACCAAACAAATTACTAAAATATTGTGGAGCAGCAATGATAGAACAATTAACAACATTAATAAAATTATAAAACCCAATCAAATCCCGGAAGAATGGAGAACGAGCGAACTAATTTTACTATTAAAAAAATAATAATAATAAAACAGAGCATGAAAACTACAGAGGTATAAACTTGGTAAATACTACCCTAAAACTTACAACTAAAATTTTACAAGAACTAATAAATCAGAGGATACAGCAGATGAACAACACGGTTTTCGTAGTGCAAGATCGTGTACAGAAGTAATATTCGTTATAAAGTAAATTACTGAGAAATCTCTAGAGTATATTAGAACGGCATTTCTGTGTCCGATTGACCTAAAGAAAGCGTTTGACACAGTAACACTCAAAGATGTAATCCACCTTCTGTATAATTAGAGACGTTTAGAGACGTTTCCCTAAATATTATATAAACTATCGAAAACATTTACAAAAACTACAAAATGGAAGACAAAATAGATGGACAACTTACAGAACCTATAGAAATAGGCAGCGGAATAAGGCAAGGGGACTCATTGAGCCTCATGCTCTTCAATTTATTCATGGATTAAATCATCAAAAACGTCAACAAAGGAAGAGGATGCAGAATGGGAAACAAAGAAATAAAAATACGCTGTTACACAGACGACGCAATATTGATAGTCCAAAATAAAGATAGTCTGTAAAAACTGGTCCACAGATTTAACACAAGAGCAAAAGAATTTAATATGACAATCTTATGTCAAAAAGCTAAAACAAAAGTAGTTAGTAAAGAACCAACCAGATGTAAAATAGAAATTGATGGCATCAGTATTGAACAAGCTATGGAGACCTGGACAAAAAAGTGAGAGAGCAAGTACAAAAAGCAAATAGACTGGAAGAATGCCTCAATAACACAATAAGTCAAGAATTTACAAAGCCAGTGTAAGTCCAATAACGACATATGCGTCTGAAACAAGCCCTCACATGGCGACAACGCAAAAGCTACTGGAAACGGCAGAGATGAGAGTACTGCGAAGAATTATAGGAAATACGCTGCGAGATAGAAAGAGAAATAGAGAAATTAGAAGAAAATCTAACGTAAAGTGTATAAATGAATGGACAAAAAATAAAAAAAAATGGAATAACCACATAAGCAGAATGGAGGAGACCCGTGTCGTCAAAATAGCAAGAAATAAGTGACCAATCGGCAAAAGAAGTATCGGACGACCGCGCAAAAGATGGAGTGACAACCTTCCATAGATGTATCAATCCGCCAATGAACAAGCAGAATTTATTATAAAGGTAAAGAAGAAGAAAAGAAATAAAAATAAGACTAGAGAAAGTCTACAGTGATTTTAATGTTATGAAACAAGTACTATAGTCGAAATAAAAAGGCTAAAAATGATAGTACTTATGCCTAAATATTATATTTTCTCACTCTTGTATGGTAAAGAGGTGTGGACGTTAAATAATCATTGCATAAATAAACTGGAGGCATCTGAGATTTAGGCTTACCAAAATATGTTGAAAAACTTCTGGAAAGAAAAAAATTACTAATGCAGTAGTAACGGATAAGATGAATAAATAAAAAGAGGTCGTATTGACTATTCAAATAAGAAAATTACAATACATGGGACAAGTTACACGCGAAAATAAATATCAACTGTTACAAGTGATTATACAGGGAAATATTGGAGGTAAATACAGCATAGGAAGGA